TGTAAAATAGTATATTAGATTTTTTTATGGATTTGATACCTCAATCGAATATGAATATCTCATATGTATGTATGAGTTGGACAAATTTAGGTGTAAACACCTGACAAATTTCGAGGCTCTTTACCAAATTGCTAACTGAATTTTCAAGTTGGAGGTGAAAATTTTAGGTGCGGCACGCGGATTGGTACTTTAGAGATGTATATCGTCGTGATTACGATTGGGATTAATCTGAAACATGGGTCCGTGGAAGTTATAGTAGTTGTTGAGGCTAGGGCATTGTTGACGTAGACAACCAAAATTGTCCAATTAAATTATTCGGTCATAAACACATTAGTTTGATTAATCAAGCTGGTATGTACATCATTAATATTATTTGACCGATACTGTTTCATCAGCCAAGTAATTGGCATGACGGCCAAGCAAATGAAAACAGACGGTTGATTTTGTGGGAACATATATGCAGTGGCAGCGGGGTTCTGTTGACGGTTCGGTTGGAAATTGAAGAGTCCAAGTGCAGCACGTTAACTCAGCCTATTATGTGCAGGAAAAGAGAAATCAAGAGCTTGCATGTATCCAAGGAAAACAAGCAGCCTGTTCGGATGGCTGGCTGGTTCGTGGATTATTACTGCTGGCTGATTTGGTGCGAGAAAAAAATACTGTTTCGACTAGAAATCTACGATCGTTTATGAGATCCACCGGCCAACCGAACAGGCCGAAGGATATGCCTACTTACGTGACTACCCTGGCCGTACGCACGAGTTTAAGCTCATGTATTGACAATATTCGTTAAAGGAAACTTGCTAAACTTGCTGGCGGCGGAGGATGTATACATGTCGGTTGCTGGAGGTCCGATATACATGCATGCGTGGTACATATTTGCAGCCGGCAAACAGGACCACGTATTTGCAGCCGGCAAACAGGAAAAAAGGATCGTTGAGCTGAGTCCAACTCCTACACGAGCTAAGAACCAAATCGGTCTCCCTTGCCATTTAGGAAAATATTGTTTAATATATTTTGATTTTTATAGGAGAGACATGAAGTCAAGGTGCTCCTCGCGCGAAGATAAGGGAAAGCAACAGAAGCTACAAGATTATGAAGGAAGGTGCACACGTCATAACCAAAGAGAATAATTCAAATGTCTGACTTTTAGAGATACGATGATGCACGGCCGATTATCATTTTTGGCCACCTACGGTTAGTTTGACCGCAAGAAGAAAATTGAGTTTCCTCGTGGGAAAGACCAACCACCCTATACATACGGCCGATTGAGGGATCCAACATCTAATTGTCAAAATACAACACATATCCTCTCTTGGCCTTATTTTTTCAACTCATATTGTTCATCACTTGATCCGACGATTAAGGATAGCGCCCTAGGCTTGCTGGCCGATCTAGCGCAACTCGGCGATGTCCTTACCCCGATGGGGTCCCTCCTGGGCAAGAGTTTCAGCGACTCCTTTGCTAGTTTGCCTGGAAACTAGCCGTTCTTCGTCATGTAAGTACGATAGGTTATTATCCTTTAGTGGTTTGCTCGTAAACCTCTTCGTTCCAGACCATGTAAGTGTGATAATCCTCGCTGCGTTCTTGGATCCGTGACGACCCGAGCGATCTAGCCCCAGTTAATGTGTGATCCAATTTAACGTCGGCACATTGCTGTCATGATGGCATCCTATTATATGGTGCCCGATGCCACTTGCTACGTATAGACATAATAAGGCACCGAAAAGTCTAAACTGAGAGGCATCTAGATTGAGGCCCACCCGAGGGCATCTAGATTCACGACCCAAACAAGAGAGCTCACAGCACTACCGGATTCAGCTTCTTTGCCGAGTGCCACTCGGCAAAGGCCGATATACACTTGGCAAAACCTTTGCCGAGTGTTACACTCGACAAAGGACGCTTGGTAAACAGTTTATCGGCAAAGACCTTTTTACCGAGTGCACTTTATCGGGCACTCAGCAAAGGCTTTGCTGAGTGCTAATCTGACACTCGGCAAAGAAAAGTCCCCGTGACGGCGAGCACCACCGTGACGGCAAAGCCTTTGCCGAGTGCTAAATCGACACTCGGCAACGAATTTTCGAAAAAATATAAAAAAAAAACCGCCGCCGCTACCTTTCCGCGTGCGGCGCGTGATGATGATCCCGGCACGCGTCTGCGCGGTGACGGTCTGCAGCCTCCACCCGCGGCCGTAGTCCGCGAGGGCATGCTACCGGGGCGGCCCGACGGGCTCTTCGCCGTCCCGAGATAGCCTCGGCGTGCGGCGGCGGTGGGGCCTCGGTTCGAGCTTGCGGTTGATGGCGTCAGGCGTGTAGCGGGCCATCGCCCCTGCCATGAATGCCGGACCTTGCCAGCTCTCCTGCACGTCACCTCCGAAGCGCCAGCGGCAAGCGGGCGACAAAGCGTGTCGGTTCGAGGAGAGCGGGTCAGCAGGGAGGAGAGACCTTCTGCGGCAGCGCGACAATGAGCAGACAAAGCGCGACCTTCAGCGGGATGAAGATGTACAAGAAGGTTCGTGGGGCTCATGCAGCAGGAAGAGAGCGGGTCTTACCGGTTGCGGTGGAGGAGGAGAGTCGCCGCCGCCGTCCTTGCTCGGTTTAAGCAGCGTCGCCGGACTCTTTCGCGCCTGCCGCTCCATCGCAGCAGCCGCTGACTCACGCCTTACCGGGTGAGCTGCCCACCGTCCGGATTTGCTGGGCATTACGTGTCGCCCGCAAGCGGTTATATAGTATAGCGACTTTGCCGAGTGTCCTAGATCCGACACTTTCGGTAAAGCGAAAGTTTTGCCGAGTGTTCTAGATCTAACACTTGGCAAATGATTTTATTTTTTTATTTTTTGCCGAGTGTCCTATATCCGACACTCGGCAAAGCAGGTTTGCCTAGTGTTCTAGATCTCAAAGACTCGGTAAAGTTTTTTTTTTTTTTTTTCTTCTCTTCTTTTCTAGAAAAGATTTTATTTCTTTGCCGAGTGTTTTTTTTACACTCGACAAACCCCTACTTTGCCGAGAGTTTTTTTTTGACCCTCGGCAAACCAACCTCTTTGCCGAGTGTCTTCTCCAGACACTCGGCAAAACGGTGATTTGCCGAGTGTCATTTTTGATACTCGGCAAATCATATTTTTTTCACTTTTAACCTCCAAACTTTTTTGCAGTCCTCATACAATACACAGTACTCCATGTTCCAATGTGACACATTTCTCGGACTTTTTCTATATTTCTTTAATTTATTTCATTTAATTGAATTTTCCTGGATAATTCAAATTATAACTGCTAGTCATTCGAATAATAAAAATGAATGGGAAAATGATATTCATATTATTTAGTATAATGTGAGGCCGTATCCAGGAACAGACCACCAATTTCTAACATCTTGTTCACGAAACATGACCAAGAACTTGCGATTGAATTGTTTTTAAATTCTATAAAAAGCAAACGAAGACCGAAAATCTTGAAACTTGTCGAGATGTCATGATATCATATGTGGAGGTGTGATATAAAAATTGAGAGTTGGTTTCACATAAGTTTGTCACGTCGATGCTTACCACCTCGTCGGCCTCTTCACGAAATCATGAAACTTCTTCGGAGATTCTTTGGTTTCCAAGCATCGTACGTGATAACTTGCGCGAAACCTTCTCAAATTTTTATCATAGCCTCCACATATGATATCTTGACATCTAGACAAGTTTCATGATTTTCGGGCTTGGTTTGCTTTTTAGAGATTTTAAAAACAACTCGACCGCAAGTTCGTGGTCATGTTTCGTGAACAAGATGTTAGAAATTGGTGGTCTATTCCTGGATACGGCCTCACATTATACAAAATAACATGAATATCATTTTCTATTCATTTTTTTCATTATTCGAATGACTAGCAGTTATAATTTGAATTATCCAAGAAAATTCAATTAAATGAAATAAATTAAAGAAATATAGAAAAAGTCCGAGAAATGTGCCACATTAGAACATGGAGTACCAGGTATTGTATGAGGACTGCAGAAAAAGTTTGGAGGTCAAAAGTGAAAAAAATATGGTTTGCCGAGTGTCAAAAAAATGACATTCGACAAATCACCGCTTTGTCAAGTGTCAAGAGAAGACACTCGGCAAAGGGTTAACGGCGGCGGCCCTTTGCCGAGTGTTCTGGTTTGCCGAGTGCCGGACACTCGGCAAACTGGTCTTTGCCGAGTGTTATTGTTTACCGAGTGCTCGGCACTCGGCAAACCACCTCTTTGCTGAGTGCCAGTTGTTTGCCGAGTGCTTTCTCTCTGGCACTCGGCAAATAGCCCATTTGTCAAGCGTCCGGTAAAAGGCACTCGGCAAAGTCTGGGACACTCGGCAAAGAAGCCGTCTCCTGTAGTGCAGTGTCATTACGTTCGGGTTAAGGGTTCAGGTCTTTTTTCAGGTAGTAGGGCCGGAGTTGGCTGACAGTGGGTGTGGATGAGACGACGGCAGCGGGAGCCGGACGGCCGGGTGGGGTGACCACGAGATGGGCATGGAGTGTCGTCCTGGCAGGGTCTCGGCCTCTCAGGGCAACAACCATCGATGACACCCATGGTTATAGCGAGTAGACCGTGGCGGCAAATATATATGGCGCCATTGTATGTTTCTCTCCTGTCCAACATGATGGAGGTCAAGCGCGCTTTCGATGTCACTTATTTGAAGCTAAAGCTACTGAGTCTTTGCAGTGACATGATTCACTGCTGAACGATAACACGCGGTGACGCCGATTCCATGCAGTACCGAAAACTATGAATAATCTAGATGTCAGCCTTTGCCGTGGGCGGATAGACTTTGCTAATTTAGTTGAGGGAGACGTCGACCGCGTAGGTCGCATTGCCCTTGTCGACGGTTTGAAATTCAAACAGGAAGAAACTTCAAAACCGAACTGGTCTTTATATAAGACCTTTCATCATGAAGACATACTGGGGCGCACTGTTAACAAATGTCAAACACACGTAAGACAATGGCTCTCTTGACGCTGTCATGCTGAGGTGATCTGCTGTGCTTCTCTTACGATGACTCCACAACCTGAAAGAGAAATTTTTTTTTGACAACATGAAAGAGAATTGTTTGACATTACGATTGGATAATAAAAGTGTTGGTGTTTTTTACCGACAGATATTTGGTTCTGGGAGAACCCCACTTGGTGCAAAGATCAATCACAGTAGAGACACGAGATTTTTACTAGTTCGGACCCACGGGAAGCGAGTAAAAGCCTTACGTCTAGTTGCTACTTCTTGTATTATGTATTCAGCGAGATTGCGAGGACAAGATGGCTATGTCTATGAGAGATTGGATGATTACAACAGAGGGCATTGCTAGCTATTTATATCCGAGGCCTACTTGCCCTGCAAGCCACGTTGTCGTGCCCTAGTCGGAGTCTTGGCGTGATCCTAAAATATCCTTCCTTGAATGGGCGACTCATGAGCCTTCGGGTCTTCTTCGGTACGAATTCGGTAGCCAGCATATCTAGTATAGTCGGGATTTCTGGGAGTATGGCATCGTCAGTAGCCCTCGAGCTTGCCTACCAATCGGACTCGACAACTTTCCTGTACTCGGGACTTCCGAAGGCGTTCAGAGTTGGGCTTTGTTGAAGAGGTCTGAACTCACACCCGTGATCGGGAGGTTGGTAAGGTAGAAGTTGTAGAGTCTCGTAGTTGGGTGACGAGCTGTTGAATAAAAAATGTCATACCCTGGAGTCATCTTGTCTACGTAACTTATCGCTCGCTTGTATTTGGAACCTTTTAAGTCGGGTGGTTTGCACTCGGTTCTCGGGGAACGGTACGGTGACGGTCTGCAGCCTCCAGCCGCGGCCGTAGTTGGCGAGGGCCGCGTTGGGGCCGAAGCTGACGGGCTCTTCGCCGTCCCTGACGGGCTCGACGTGTAGCGCCGTCGGGGCCTCGGGTTCGAGCTTGCGGTTGATGGCGTGCAGCGCGTAGCGGGCCGTCGTCCCTGCCGCGAACCGCCGGACCTTGCCGGAGCTCCTGCACGTCACCTCCAAGAACTGCCAAGCGGCAAGCAGACAGCAAGCGCGTCAGTTCGAGGAGAGCGGGTGCAGCAGGACGAGGAGACCTTCCGCGGCAAGCAGACAGCAAGCAGACCTTCCGCGGGATGAAGATGTACAAGAAGGTTTGTGGGGCTCTGTGCAGCAGGAGGAGAGCGGGTCTTACCGGTTGCGGTGGAGGAGGAGAGTCGCCGCCGCCGTCCTTGCCTGGCTGTTGCGCATCGCCGGGCTGCTGCGCCCGCCGCTCCATCGCCGTGCGCGCTGACTCGCGCCCCGCTAGGTGAGCTGCCCACTGTCAGATTTGCCTAGCTGTTGCGCGTCGGCGTGCAGTTCTATAGTATAGCAGCTTTGCCGAGTGTCCTAGATCTGACACTCGGTAAAGCAGTGTTTGCCGAGTGTTCTACATCTGACACTCGGTAAATGATTAGTTTTTATTGTTTTTTATTTTTTTACCGAGTGTCCTAGATCTGACACTCGACAAAGTAGGGTTTGCCGAGTGTTCTAGATCTCAGCACTCGGTAAAGTTTTTTTTATTTTTTTCTTCTCCTTTTCTAGAAAAATATTTTATTTCTTTGCCGAGTGTTTTTTTACACTAGGCAAACCCCCACTTTGTCGAGAGTTTTTTTTTTGACACTCGGCAAACCAACCTCTTTGCCGAGTGTCTTCTCCTGACACTCGGCAAAATAGTGATTTGTCGAGTGTCATTTTTTGACACTCGGCAATCCATATTTTTTTCACTTTTGACCTTCAAACTTTTTCTGCAGTCCTAATACAATACCTAGTACTCCATGTTCCAATATGACACATTTCTCGGACTTTTTCTATATATTTTTAATTTATTTCATTTAATTGAATTTTCTTGGATAATTTAAATTATAACTGCTAGTCATTCGAATAATAAAAATGAATGGGAAAATAATATTCATGTTATTTAGTACAATATGAGGCCGTATCCGGGAACAGACCACCAATTTCTAACATCTTGTTCACGAAACATGACCAAGAACTTACGATCGAATTGTTTTTAAATTCTATAAAAAGCAAACGAAGACCGAAAATCTTGAAACTTGTCGAGATGTCATGATATCATATGTGGAGGCTGTGATAAAAAATTGAGGTGGTTTCGCGCAAGTTTGTCACGTACGATGGTTACCACCTCGTCGGCCTCTTCACGAAATCATGAAACTTCTTTGGAGATTCTTTGGTTTACAAGCATCGTACGTGATAACTTGCGCGAAACCTTCTCAAATTTTTATCATAGCCTCCACATATGATATCATGACATCTGGACAAGTTTCATGATTTTCGGGCTTCGTTTGCTTTTTAGAAAATTTAAAAACAATTCGACCGCAAGTTTGTGGTCATGTTTCGTGAACAAGATGTTCGAAATTGGTGGTCTGTTCCTAGATACGGCCTCACATTATACTAAATAACATGAATATCATTTTCTATTCATTTTTTTCATTATTCGAATGACTAGCGGTTATAATTTGAATTATCCAAGAAAATTCAATTAAATGAAATAAATTAAAGAAATATAGAAAAAGTCCGAGAAATGTGCCACATTGGAACATGGAGTACCAGGTATTGTATGAGTACTGCAGAAAAAGTTTGGAGGTCAAAAGTGAAAAAAATATGGTTTGCCGAGTGTAAAAAAAAATGACACTCGGCAAATCACCGCTTTGTCAAGTGTCAGGAGAAGACACTCGGCAAAGGGTTAACGGCGGCGGCCCTTTGCCGAGTGTTCTGGTTTGCCGAGTGCCAGACACTCGGCAAACCTGGTCTTTGCCGAGTGTTATTGTTTACCGAGTGCTCGGCACTCGGCAAACCACCTCTTTGCTGAGTGCCGGTTGTTTGCCGAGTGCTTTCTCTCTGGCACTCGGCAAATAGCCCATTTGCCGAGTGTCCGGTAAAAGGCACTCGGCAAAGTCTGGAACACTCAGTAAAGAAGCCGTCTCCTGTAGTGCAGTGTCATTACGTTCGGGTTAAGGGTTCAGGTCTTTTTTCAGGTAGTAGGGCCGGAGTTGGCTGACAGTGGGTGCGGATGAGAGACGGCAGCGGGAGCCGGACGGCCGGGTGGGGTGACCACGAGATGGGCATGGAGTGTCGTCGTGGCAGGGTCTCAGCCTCTCAGGGCAACAACCATCGATGACACCCATGGTTATAGCGAGTAGACCGTGGCGGCAAATATATATGGCGCCATTGTATGTTTCTCTCCTGTCCAACATGATGCAGGTCAAGCTTTCGATGTCACTTATTTGAAGCTAAAGCTACTGAGTCTTTGCAGTGACATGATTCACTGCTGAACGACAACACGCGGTGACGCCGATTCCATGCAGTACCGAAAACTATGAATAATCTAGATGTCAGCCTTTGCCGTGGGCGGATAGACTTTGCTAATTTAGTTGAGGGAGACGTCGACCGCGTAGGTCGCATTGCCCTTGTCGACGGTTTGAAATTCAAACAGGAAGAAACTTCAAAACCGAACTGGTCTTTATATAAGACCTGTCATCACGAAGACATACTGGGGCGCAATGTTAACAAATGTCAAACACACGTAAGACAATGGCTCTCTTGACGTTGTCATGCTGAGGTGATCTGCTGTGCTTCTCTTACGATGACTCCACAACCTGAAAGAGAAAAAAAAATTTGACAACATGAAAGAGAATTGTTTGACATTACGATTGGATAATAAAAGTGTTGGTGTTTTTTACCGGTAGATATTTGGTTCTTGGAGAACACCACTTGGTGCAAAGATCAATCGCAGTAGAGATACGAGATTTTTACTGGTTCGGACCCACGGGAAGCGAGTAAAAGCCTTACGTCTAGTTGCTACTTCTTGTATTATGTATTCAGCGAGATTGCGAGTATAAGATGGCTATGCCTATAAGAGATTGGATGATTACAACAGAGGGTATTGCTAGCTATTTATATCCGAGGCCTACTTGCTGTTGCAGAACCGCCTAGTCTAATGCCTCTCAGGAGTGCTCGTCTTCTATTAGACACTAAGCACCTAAAGGGGAACACTAAATTACTCGGTTCCGTCGAGCACACCCCAAGGGAGAACCCGAAAATCCACATTTTCGCCATCAGGATCACAAATGAGAGAATAAAGCTTACATCATTCTTAACCATTTCTTACATCACTTTACATGTACATCAGGGTATAACATTTATTATAACAGCAGAATATAATCATGTTATCAGAGTTATGAACAATTTAAGTTACAACGGAATGTAAACATGTTATCAGAGTTACAGTGAAAATAAATATCTATTCATGTCATGATAAAGTATTGATACATAAACTACGACAACAGATTATAAAACTTTCATTTAGAAAACATTTAGTGAGAGTTGTAATAAAACTACAATCGCAGCATAAAGAAATCCTCGCTGAGCCCACCAGGAGGTATCCACACACAAAGGTCAGCTCTAGCATCTACCTGTCACTTGCAACAGGGGGAATAAAACCCTGAGTACTCAATTGTACTCAGCAAGACTTACCCGACAGGAGGAAAGAAAAGACTCCAAGGATATGCAGGGCTATTTGGCTTGTGGATCTATTGCATCTGCAGAAAGCATTACTAAGCATGCGTCCTTATATTTGATTTTTATTAACAGCCGCATTGGTTCATTAACTAACCATTCTATATAAGCACATGTACTACTTTCAAGCAGGTGGTAAGCAATCAGACTTCATCTTCCATTCCATCATTCATCTTTCAGTTCTTACTACGGTGCTAGGCCACAGACGAGCCGTACCGGATTTTCCGGCGATTCGCGAATCAATGCCCCCAGCTGGGTACCCCGAAAACACACGCTCTGCTTGTACCCAAGGCACAAGCAGGATCAACCCATCACTCTCCTGTCCCGGGTGTCCAGGTCCCCGTCCAAACTGGGACTCCAAGCCCCCGCCTCTGAGTCCCGGACTCAGTGCGGTGCAAGGACCTCCTCCACAAAAAAGAAACCCTAACAGTCGAAAAGAGCCGGATCCGCGACAAGAGAGCGACAAGTCTTCCAAGCGCCCATACCCAAGTATGTGCTCGGGATAATAAGTCTGTGACTTGCCTAGAGCCTTATGCAACGACCGGTCCTTAACTGACACAGACAGGGAAAACAGTGTAACTAAGCCATGCCCCGCGTCCACGGCGACACAATCTCTTACACCCACCAATACCCAACCATATCCCTGCATGGTCACCATTTTTCCTTTCCACCATTTATATTTTCCAAGTAATAGTAATATATTTCCTATCTCTCGCGAGTGACAGGTAATCACTCGACTTCTACCGGAGTCCTGTAGCATAGCATTCTACACGATTCTGTCATACTAGTAAGACTTATAGGATAAAGATGTATATGCAAGTGGGTTTCATTCAACTTCTTAAAACTTAATGCATAAATATAATTTAAACTGCAGAAAAGTATGGGTTATGCACCGGGGCTTGCCTGGGTAAAATATAACCAAAAGTTAGTATTTGCATCTTCTGATCATCCACCATCAACTGGATAGAAATCCCATTGCATCTGCTCCTGGAGAGAATATCATTACACCATCTTCGGATTCCCAATCATCCTTCAATTAATCCGTTGATCCATCATCGTACCTATATGATATGCAATGCGATGCAATGCAAAGACATAATTAATCGAGTGCAATCGTGACTCGTAAAATACGATTTACACCTCTCAAGTTAACGGGCTAGTTCTAACGACGACCGTACTTAGGCTACATATCCACGTTGTCGAATAAGACGATATTTCCCAACAATTATTTTAGTTACATGAACCCAAGTTGTTTCTTTATTCCATTCTATCGATTTAATCATTATTCGAATTAGAGCATCATTATCTACCTAGCAAACTAATTATTATTGAGCTACAAAATTACAATGAGCACCTAATATTGCTTAGGAGCATACTGTAGAAATTTCAGATCTAATACTATTACCAATTTATTACAACAATTTCTACAAGTTCATATTTTTACCATATCAAGTACCTTAAATTAATTATATAGCTTTCAAGAATATTATCAAACTATGTGAACAAAATACACTATTAGATAGATCATGATTTTAGAAACCCAACAAAATAGGTTTGGCATTTTTATGATTTTTATTTGATTTATTACGGATTTACAAACTTCAGCCATATTAAACAAAATAGTAAGCTCAGCAGAAAAAGAAAAACAACCCACAGCCGCACAAGGCCCAGCCGGCCATGGCAGACCAGCCCATGGTGGAC